TTTTTTTTGTTATTGTTGTCATTGTTGTTTAGCTGGCCAGGGACAGGTTTGAACCCCTCATTCTCCTTGTATGTGGCCGTCGCCATACCACAGAGCTAAGGGCCCTAAGCCAGGAAATGTACAATTTAAAAATAATTTTTGGGCTGGGTGCCCCTTGGTCAGTGGTTAGGGCACTGGCCACGTGCTCCTGGGCTACTGGGTTCCAACCCTGCCTGGCCTAATAAACAAACAAAAGAAAAATATCCCGTTGTTGTGGCAGGCGAATCTCTTGAGCCCCAAGAATTTGAGGTAGCTGAGAGCTATGGCATGGCACTCTACCAAGGGTGACAAAGTAAGAGTTTCATTAAAAAGTAATAATAATAATTTTCAGTATATTGTTTCCATTTGTGAATAATATATACATATTTTAAATAAATGTGCATAATCTAATCTACAAGGTTAAATACAAATGCCCTCGGGCCAAGATCACCTCCTAGTTCCTGAAGAAATAGCTCTATGAAAACGGCCCCTGGCTCAGAACCAGTCACCAGGGGCCTTACTCAGACCCACCTCTAAAGGCTTCTGCTGTCACTCAACCAGAGGAGGCGGGGGAAAGAGTCTTATCCAATCAGTAGTGCTGATTCTGTCCTATTAGGTGCGTAGCTGGAGTAGAGGGCGTGGCCTCCACAATCTCGCTGTGCCTCCTCTGCAGTTCTGCTACTTGGCCTGGCGTCTCCAGCTCGTTCTCTTGTGCTTCTGGAAGTGCAGGTCTCTCTTCTGTGTATTTTCTTGTCTTGTGACCTTCAGGTACTGGAAGGTTTGCAGCGAGGATGTTAGGATACCCCAGAAGCTGGGAAATGGTGAGTGTGTGGGACTGAATGTCCTGGGTGGGGGCAGAAGCGGTAGTGGTGGCACCTGGGCCTCCCTGTCACAGTCCAGAGGCAGCCGACCTAGTACCCGCTGCCGCAGGTCAACCCTCAGTTTCCTCTGGCTTGGTGGGCTGGGCTCGTGAGCCGGGACTCAAGTGCATCTCACCTTGGTGACTCCTGAACTCCATTTGGCTAGTTCTGCTACTACAGGCCCACGTCTGTCCCAGGTTAAGAACCCCACCTTGGTGTGCGGGTTTGTGCGTGAAAGGAGCTGTATGTAGTCTGTGAGGCCCTAGTCTTTTCTTTTGTTCATGAAATGAGGCATAAATAAAGTGATAAGAAGTTCATTACATTTGAGCAAACAGCAATTCACAAATCACGAAGTCTCCAGCCAGGGGTTGGAGTTTAGAGGCTTATAAAGGGTAGGGCGTGAAGGTAAGGCTTTTATAAGGTCTATGAGGAAGCAAACTAAATTCACTCATAAATTACATTTATATACTTGCCTTATTTGAATTATATGTGAAAATTACCTCGTTTTGCCCAGTGGGGTGGCCCACACCTGTAATCCTAGCACTCTAGCAGGGTGAGGTGGGAGGATGGCTTAAGTTTAGGAGTTGGAAACCAGCTTGAGCAAGAGCAAGACTTCCTCTCTACTAAAAATTGAAAAATCAGCAGGCATTGTGGTGGGCTCTTGTAGTCTCAAGTATTTGGGAGGCTGAGGCAAGAGGATTGCTCAAGCCCCAGAGTTTGAGGTTGCTGTGAGATATGGTGCCACGGGACTCAATCCCCGGGTGACAGAGTAAGGTTCTGTCTCAAAAAGACCCCGAAACATTAGTTTAGAAATGCTGAGGCCGGGTGTGATGGTTCAGGCCTATTTCCTAGCACTCTCTTGAGACCAAGATGGGTGGATTGCCTGAGCTCACCGGTTGGAGACCAGCCTGAGTCAGAGCAAGACCCTGCCTCTAAAAAACAGCCAACGTTGTGGCAGGTCCCTGTAGTCCCAGCCACTTGGAATGTTGAGGGAAGAGAATCGCTTGAGCCCAATTGTGGTTGCTGTGAGCTGTGACTACTGACTACTGAGCACTCTACTGAGGGTGACAAAGTGAGGCTCCGTCTCAGAAAAAAAAAAAAACAAACTGACTGGCTTTGCACAATTGTTATTGGAGAATAACAGTTGCCTTCAGGTCCTGAATGATCTTTTCCTCAAGGTAATTGCCTGCCTCTCAGATTCATTCAGATTCTTTTTTTTTTTTTTGCAGTTTTTGGCCAGGGCCGTGTTTGAACCTGCTGCCTCTGGTATGTGGGGCTGGCATCCTACTCCTTGAGCCACAGGCACCGCCCCCATTCAGACTCTAAATGGAGTAATTTACAAGTTAATTTCTTTCTTCCTGGGCAATTCATTCTTCCTAATAACCAGGTTCTGATTCTGAAAACAAGGGTCTACATTCCCCATCTTCTTTTCTGATGAAAAAGTGTATTTAAGCTGCAGAACCTGAGTGGGAGATTGGGGTAATCCTGTGCTTCCCATTCCCACATTAATACATTGGTATTCCTTTCCTCTTATTTTCCTTTTGTTTAGTATTCAGAGAACTTTCATAGAATTAAGCAAAAAGATTTCTTCTGGCCTCTATATTATAAATTTAGTAGATATAAATTTGACCTCTGTTTTGTTCCCTAGGAAAGAACACAAGGCACCAGACTCTTAATTACAGTAGAAGTTCCACCTCCCTTCATTGAACACCTCCTTAAGTTGACCTAATTTTTGCAGACCTGACATGCACCACGTACACCTTTCAGTACCATAGGCCTAGTGCCTTATGCTGACCCACCTCTGTATTTTGTCCAGTTTGTTAGTCACTTGGATGGTCAGCTCAGATTCTACTATTTTTTTATGTTTTAATATCACATTTGTTGTGTTAATTATTTTTAGGATTATTTATAAGGAGGTGTCCTAAAAAAAAACCCTCAGTTAAAAATATTGTTGAAATAGCATTGTTTTTTTTTTTTTTGAGACAGCGTCCCACTTTCTTGCCCTTGGTAGAGTGCCGAGGCAGCGTCACACTGCTCACAGCAACCTCCAGCTCTTGGGTTTAGGTGATTCTCTTGCCTCAGCTTCCTCAGTAGCTGGGACTACAGGCACCTGCCACAATACCCGGCTATTTTTTTCGTTGTGGTTTGTCCGGGGCTGGGTTTGGACCCGCCACCCTTGGTATATGGGACCAGTGCCCTACTCACTGAGCCACAGGCGACACCTGCATTTTTTTTTATTGTCATATATTCATAGATCATGAATACATTCATACCTTTGTGGGATTCAGTGTGTTGATTATTTGTACAAATTGGAATGCTTACATCCTATCCTACTAATTAACATAGCCTTCACCTCAGGGAGGGTTAATGGCAGGACCGCACCTATGGAGCATATTGCAAGGGTTCAAGTCAGATCTATCAAGTATTGAACATAAACCTCTTAAAACTGTGCTTAAGTAAATGAGGTAAAAGATTCTACTATTTTAAAACACTCCAGGAGAGGATTTATATCCCCTTCATTTCTTTCTTCTTTTTTTTTTCTTTAAGACATAGTATTGCTCTGTCACTGGGGCTTAGCTTTAGTGTCACCATAGCTCACTGCAATCTCAAACTCCTGGGCTAAGGCGATTCTTCTGTTGAAACCTCCCAAGTAACTGGGATGACAGGCATGAGCCACCAAGATCAGCTTTTCTTTTTTTTGTTTTTAATAAGAAAATGGGGTCTTTTTTTTTTTTTTT